CAGAAGTAACATCTGCAGTGGCACACATCAGTGAGATTGTTTGTCCATCATATCAAACTGTAAGAAGGTTTTGAGCAATTCAATTTGATGTTTCCTACCGTTTCATTTATTCAGAGAATAGTTTTGAGCTTTTCTTTGAAGTCCTCTTCCTTTCTCTCTGTGAATTTAATTTGCTTCTGAAGAATTTTGGTTTTAGTTCTGTTTCTAGGCTTTATCTCTTCTGGAGCATCGATTGCAGAATGAGCACTTGGCTGGCCATCTTCCCACACGTCTAAAAGGATTAGATGCCGCCTTATGTGGTGGAATACCCTATGGCGTCTTAACAGAGTTAGTTGGTCCAGCTGGAATAGGGAAAACGCAGGTATATCTGGCTTACCTTCACTTCAGGGTTCTTAGAAAATTTGGTAATGTCATTCGCGGTTTTTCTCAAATTGGGTTGTCTTTGTTATCAATGTCTAACCCTAGTTTATTGAAAATTGCTTAGTTTTCCAACTAAGATCGGAAAGAGACTAATTCTTTGGTGTTACACCACATATTCGAAAAGTCTCTTTTTCTTACATAACTTGCTAATATTTTACAGAAAATCCATCCAGAGTGTTGGTAAATTTATTTTTTTCATTCTCTCATTGTACTCATGTTGGATATATGTGCAATTATTCAGTTTATATTGATTAAACTGCAGTTCTGCCTGAAGCTCGCACTACTGGCTTCACTACCAGCATGTTATGGAGGATTAGATGGCCGGGTAATATATATTGATGTAGAATCCAAGTTTAGTTCAAGAAGGTAGATACAGAAAACCCTAGTGGTTTCCTGTTTTACAAGTTTATGAAGATTTTTGAGAATCCTGAAGTTCTGAGATTGCATTTCCCCAGGATGATAGAAATTGGCTTAAAAAGTTTCCCATACATATTTCACTTGAAAGGATTGGCACAAGAGGTTTGCTAAGTAGTTATTAACTTTCATTGTTATTGAGTTTCCTTTTCTAATTCAGTGGCACTGTCCTTACTTTTCTTACTGTATTAATATTGATTTACATTGCAGATGGCTGGGAGGATCCTTGTTTTGCAGCCAGCATCACTGTCCGATTTTACTGAAAGGTATGAATTAACATAAAGTTTTGTTTTTCTGGTTTTAGAGCTTTAGGAATGATAAAATTTTTTGGTGAGAAATGTGAGTTAGAACTAACAGGTAAAAACAAAAGAGTTTAGTCTGGATATTTTTTCACTTGAAACAAACCAGTTCTTTTGCTTATGGTTGACAAAAAAAAAAAAAAAAGAATATGAGTTCTCCAGCTTATGCAAGTTGCTACAGTTACAGTTAGACATATTGTTTAACATTCATGTGTAGATTTGAATGACCGAAGAATAAGATCTCAATGATGCTACCTGGGCCATGGCTATTATTTGAACAGGTTGATAATTAGTTGTCTTTTATCAGTATCAAGTCTCTTTGGCTCCTGTATACTGTCAGATTGTATGTCAACAAGGTTGTCTTTATGTACTTACTATTTCAATGACCTAAAGAAAAATGCAAACATAAGAACTTCAAAAACCCAGTTTAATGCTACATGCATTTAAACATTTAGGCACATGATATCCCAAGGGCAGCAATTTGGAAGTTACAGCTAATAGCTCATTGGTTTGATAAGTTGATATAGGACAAAGAGGGTTTGACTACAAACTTAAAGAATTTATATTGAGAAAAAAAAATTGAAGATCTCGGATCTCAATAATCAAAGTAATATCTCGATATGTGAATAATAATTATAAATAATCTACTTAATAGTTAAGTTAGGCATCTTGTTTTATAGGCACTAAGTACATCAAAATAGGAAATAAAAAAACCTAGTAAATAGAAACATAAGTTAAACTGGAAGAACTAGAGAATTAGGAAATCTAAGAAATAGGAAAATAAGTCTTCATATTCCAACTTTCCAAAACATTTATGTTTCTTTATTGATTTTGCCTCATATCTCTTATTACTGAAATATGTCCACTTTAGGAGCTTCCTGATCTGCATCATTCTCCTGCACTTGGTAAAAACACGACTTAAATTTTTGAAATATCGAAGTAGAAAGAATGTTAAAGTTGAAACTTGTCCTTCAACAATTGAAGCTTGCAGAACTTGGAATTGTAATTAGAAAACATGATTTTTTTTTTTGAAATCAAGGATTCTAAAGATGCAGTGAACCAATTAGAAATACGGCAAAATCCAAAAAGCAGTGAACCAATTAGAAATGACAAAATCCAAAAAAGGAAAAACAATCAAACTTTCTTCGTTGCTGTTATGAGTTAAAGAATGTGGAGTAGTATTTTCTAATGAGGCCTCTTTCTTCTTAAAATCAACGAGAATAGTGTCATTTTTAACTTCAATGACATCGTTGTTTACAACTAAATCGAGAGATCTGTTGCTAGAAAACTCAACTTAGTGACAGAAGCATCAATCTCGTTCGCAATCTTTTTTCCTATCTCAAATACTTCATTTGTGTGTGTACCTTTAATATCAGTAGTTAATTCTTAATATTTAGGTTGCAGCACTTCCATTAGATTTTGCTCAACTACCAAAGAATTCACACTTTCATCCTTTTCTTGTTCTTCATGTTCTAAAATTTGACACATGTTAGGTTTTTGTGTAACTGATAATTCAAAATTTCTCTATGCCTTTTCATCTTCATTTCATACATATCAATTTTATTGCTTAAGTTCCAAAGAGCTATTTTGAAATCTTCCATAACTTTATAAGAATAAGAAGTGTCATGTTACTCTTGTGACTTACTTTCACTATTTTAGATATTGGAAAATGATATTGAATTTTTATTTTAGAATATCTATCATATAAACAATACTCTTTAATAGAATCTCGCGCCTAAGTACCACCTTCACAAAACTAAGTCACAAAAGCTTACGACCTTGAATCTTGACTAATTCTAATTTTGTCCACCTATCCATATTTATCAAAAAGTTCATATAAATCATCTCATAGTTCATCCTTTGTAGCTAAATCATATACCCAATAGAATGTAGTTACCAGAACACGATTAACTCTGTTCATGTATTAAATCCATCCATAATTCTTCTAACTCCAAGTGAATTTTTTCTAAAGTATTAACTTGCCAAAAAATGAATATAAAACCGGAATTTGACAAAACTAACCTCAAAAAGTGAAAGAGCACACCTAAAATCTTAAGGGCTAGTTTGAAGATATTGAGAATCAGGCTGGAGATGGTGAATGGGACAAGTCGGACTAGAGTGGTCAAATTGGTTTGACCTCGTCAAGGGGGCTTTAGAATATTGAAATCCATGCACGCGGGTCGGCGTGTGGACTTTATGTACTGTCCTTCGATAGGCTTCCAGTGATGGGCTTCTGGTGGCGAGCTCGACTGAAGGTACTAATCCTGGATCTAAGGTTCGTGTTACTAGTCATGGCTAGGTAGAAGGATATCCTGTGTTTGCATCGGCGATCTGGGGATTTTTAAGCGAGTGAGGTAGATTCCAATGAGTTTCCGCGGCAAGGCTTCGGGGTTTTGCCAATTGAAGGCTTCTAAAAATGATGGTGAGAGCAGTTTTGGCCACCACTGATGGTGGTCGGGGGTCAAGTTAAACTAGCACTATGGTTTTTCTCTTTTTGATGCTATCGACTATTTAGGGTTTTTATAAAGGCTCAAACCCCCTATTAGGGATTCTTAGCGTATGACTCAAAAATAGTGAAATAAGAATATTGAAATTTGTAATTTAGCGGAAGCAATTAGAGTTTAAGGTTATATTTCTTACACAGTTTACTTAAAATGTCTAATAGAGTTATGAGAATAATCTTGAAAACTAAAATGAAAAAAGTAATAAAGAAAATGAATATGATCAACCTCTGTTCGAAATTAGGGAAGCGGAGAGACAATTTCTTAACTAGTTTTTTTACTGTTCAGCATTTAAATTTTGGTCGTCCTGATCTGAAATGATTAATAATAAAGGATGAGTTACACTAACTCAGTAAAAATATCAACGCTTTACCACTGATACAAAAAAAAATTAAAGGTTTGTAGAAAATATAAAACAACCAATAGAGCTTGTTTTTTTTTATAAAATTTAAATGTTAGTGCATTCATTATTCGTTTCACTGAAAACGTTAATATCTTCTAATCTCACCTGTAAATTTTTAAATATTATTTATTAAGGTAAAAATATAACAAACTACAATGCGCATTCCAAAAGATATATAACAATTAACTTTACGCTATTTTCAAAATTGGATTCCTACCGTACTCATCTTTATTATTTACTTTACTTGTCGGTGTCACTAAGGGTCCATAAGAGTCCCTACTATACGTGAACACGAACATTCATTCTATTAATCAACCGGCCGTCCCCATACTCCGTCCGGAATGGACGCTAAAACATACAATCGCTTCAATACCCCGTCCAGTATGAGTGTAATTAAAACGATTCCCAACTTGTTCTACTATGGGACTTCTCAGCCTCGTACGACTGAGGGTAACGTCTACAGTACGGTTCACCTTAACACTGAGTCTGTATACTCTTTCCCAAGACACCGGGTAAGATCATTTTATTTAACATCATTAATTCACACATATCTTTTCTTTTATTTACTATTTAGTCTTAAGAGATACGTATATCTGTATCCCAACAATACATGATTAATGAGTTCACATTTTATGGTACGTACATGAAATAAGTATGCACTATATTGACAGAAATATATTGTACACACAATAGGATGACAGGACTATATATTAAGAGGCCTTACCACGTTTGCTTTAGAATTAAAATAAATACATTAAAGTAAGCACTATAGTGAATAGAATAACATAATAAACAAATGAAGAAATAAATACTGCAATTAAAACTCAAACAGGCACAAACTGGACGGTTATTTACTCTATTGGCAACTTGTGCTTTAATTAATTAAGGGACCGCAGATTAACCAAATTTTCCATTTATTATCAGTTTAGTTTTAATTGTATCGTAACAGGAAAAAGGGATGAGAGATTCTTATCTTGGATCGGTGTTCAGAACAACTGCGTTTTTCACTACGGTTCTCGCTTCTTGGATTTCTTGGATTTTCCTGTTAAGATCCAAACGTGCGTCAAAATAGCGTGAAACTACGTGAGAAATGGCCAAAAAGAAAAAATATCTCATTGGAGGGTCGGATTGGGGTTCCGGTGTGCCGGCGCCGCCGTGCTATGCCGTCGGGTCCTCCTTCTCCAGTGACTCCTCCTCTCGGTCAGGTTGGTTTCGGCCAGTTCTAGGTAAAAACTTGTTTAAATACGGTTAGGAGGTGTCTATCAGCAGAAAAAGAGGAAAAACCAACGCTTACTAGCATTTTCCGGTCTTCAGTGCGCGGCTTAGCTGGGCTCAACCGTTCCTTTCTTGCAGTTCGTGGCTTTTTCGGTTACCCTGTGTTGGAAACAAGTTATACGGCTAAGGGCGGAGGAACAGGAAAAAACGGGAAGAAAAATCACACTCACCGGTGCGTTTTGGATTTCCGGTGCGGCGTCACTGGTGGCTGGGCTTCTCCTCCAGCCGCCCTTCTTCTTCTTCTTCGGTGAGTGGGTGTCGGTTAGGGTTTCAGTTTGAAAGAGATGTTTAAATACCCCCATCTCCTCGATCTGGGCCGTCCATTCAGGCCCACGTGGATTAACCACAGTCGTCAGATCGCGCTTATGAGGGAAATAGATCTGAGCCATTCGATCAAAGATGCATGAGGCTTTTCAATTGCGCTTATCCAGAAAAATCAATTCGGACTGTTCGTGCGCGCGTGAGTGAACATGAGCCATTGGATCGTCCAGGCACGCGGATCACCCGTGTAGCTCCCGCGTGGAGCCTATGCGTGTCCACCACACGGCACGTTCTAACTCGCCGTGCTGCTGACGTGGTCTGCATTTATTCTTTTTGCGATTTTATCCATGTTTTAAAACTTTTCTTTCAAAAACACCTCCTTTTATTTACAGTTTCACTTTGTTTTTTAAAATTATTTTTAATTTCATCCACAATTTATATTTCTCAAAATTAATTAAAATTAACTCTTTATTTATTATTAAAAAGAATTGAATTACATCTTTTTGAGTCTAAATTTTGGGATCGGAATGTTACAGTTTTAGAGTTTTTTTTTGCAGTAGATTTTGTGTTTTGTGAAGGTGGAATGACATAATTAAGGCAGCTTAACAAATCAAATTTAGCTTTTGATACCAACTGATATAGGGCAAATAGAGCATGAATTTAAACTCAGAGACTTTTATTAAGAACAAGACTTGGAAATTTAGGATCTCAATAATAAAAAAAAGCTCAATATGTGAATAATAATCATGAATAATCTACTTAATAACTAAGCTCAATATTTATTTATAAGCAGCGAATGCATAAAAAATAGGAAATCTAAATAATCTAGTAAATAAGAAAATAAGTCAAATAGGAAGAAATTAGGAAATAAAAAGTCTAGGAAATATAGAAAAATAAATTTCCTATGTTCCTTTATTGTAGGACTTTCCAAAAATTTAGAAAAGAAAATTAAAATTTCATATTCCTTTTAGTTAACTTCGATAAACGTTTATGTTTCTATATTAGTTCTGCCTCATATCTCCTATTATTGAAATATGTTAATTTAAAAGCTTCCTATTCTGCATTTTAAGTATTTGAGTTTTTGTACTTCCACTTATGCTTCATACTCGCATTATTTGATATTCACCAGTTTGCAAGAACTGAAGCTTTCAGTTCTCCAAAACCAAGTGAAGCTGCTAGTGATTGATAGCATGGCGGCTCTTGCTTCAGGGTAATTTTGATTTTTTTTTTTGGTAATAATTTTGATAGTTCTACTTTCATTTTATTTTCTTAAAAATCATGTTATGACTCTCAAGAATCAAGCGCAGTTTCTTTGACAGATAGCATTTTGGCTTGATCCTTGTAGAATGTGCTTTGATGCATAATCTTGGTTGTAGCTTGCTGATTTTAACAATTCCAATTATAGGGACTGAATCATTTCTCTTTTTGAAGAAAGTATATCACAACCAAATTCAATACATCTGTAAGTTAGTAGATGGAATTATCCCAAAAAGAAAGTATGAAGTTACGCCCTAGTTTACAGTCAGCTTTTTATAACTGAAGTTACATAGTAAAATTCTCTAGCAGTCCTTGTAAGTTCTATGGAAATGTTTAGAAAGAAAGTTAATTTGATGTATCTGTAAATCTAGGTAACTTTAATGTAATTTGATGTATCTGTAAATCTAGATAACTTTAATGTAATTTGATGTATCTATAAATCTAAATAACTTGAATGTCCTACACTGTACTGCATCTCAGGATCAGAGAAGTGAAAACAAGAGTCAAGATGGTTGTCTATTTGTTCTGTGAATATGCTTAACTTAATCCTGGTGCTTGAATGGTGAAAATAGATTTTATGGTCATTCATTATGTAAATGTGGAAATGCGGTTTTTGGAGTTCAATGCTGCTATCTGGAGGGTGAAAATACATTTCTTTCATCTGTGTGCATTTACAGATCCAGTTTCTCAAGTTCAAAACTGTTGGATGATATTCTAGTCAGTGATATCAACTAGTCCAATAAATCTATACAACTAGTGCCACATGAATGTAGGAGCATGTTTAGACTGTTGTGGAAGAATGGTTATGATAGTCTTCTCTGCACTAATGCGAGTCCATCATTGATTTGTGATATATCTGCTCATATTTCTTAAAGAAAATTTTGAACTTATAGAGTAATCTGAAACCAAATACTATATGCTTCTCTAGTGGATCATCTAATTGATGAGTATTTGTTCAGGGAATATGAGCAGGGGTTTCGTCGACAGCATTCATTATGTTGGCACATTTCTTTTGTCAAGTGAGAACTCGATCTTCACTGCCAATTTTATGTGACCATTTACTTGAGATAATTGTGTTTCTTGTTCAGATCATATTGATACAATAATTGATCTAGGTCACTTGCTGAATTTTCACGAATTCCTGTTGTGGTAACAAACCAAGTGAGATCTCAGAGCCATGATGATACCTGTCAGTATGATTTCCAAGGTATGATTACATAATCAATTTTGTAAGATCTTTTCAGCTCATCTATTAACACAGTTTGGTTGATCTGGTGCAGCACAGAGCAGAGATGAGATGGTAGATGACCCCATGAAATACGATTCTCATCTTATTGCTGCATTGGGAATTCACTGGGCTCATGCTGTAACAATTCGTTTAATACTTGAAGCTAAATCAGGTGGGCATAACATTTGCCGTAGATACCCATGAGAGCCAGTCGTGATTGTTTTGATCTATTTGCTGTTGATTGATTTTGTCCATCAGATCAAGTTGAGACATTTGTAAGATTTTCTTTTTTCTTTTCTAAGGAAAGATAGTATTCTCCTTGTAAATCTTTTACATGACTTGTATTCACAAATGTTTTTTTTAATGATTTATGGTTTACAAATTTAACAAAAAGTGGTTTCTAAAAAAAAGTGAGAAGTTTAATGAAAATGCGAGTTGTTCAAAAGGAGAATATAGATTAAGTTAAACAAATTGAACATATTCTAAGAAACTAGTTTAATTCCACTCAGATTGCCTTCTTTATTAAGGTTTGGGCTCAAGGTGCACTATTGGCATTTGTTTCCATTTTTTGCATTTTCTCTTTCTGGATGTGGCTTAATTTCTAGAACGTTACATTACTATTTTGTTTAGGAGGAGCAATGACTCTTATTCAAGTTCTCTGCTGGAAGAAGGTCCTCAACCAAAATTATTTATGGATGACTACCTTAAGAGAGCATAAACTGCAGTAACATGTGAAAGTAAAAGATTGCACCCCTTCTGTTTTTGGATTTGAATTTCGAAAGTCGCATTTCTCCTGCAGGTCAGAGGTTTTTGAAGGTAGCAAAATCTCCAATGTCACCCCCTGTGGCCTTTCCTTTCTGCATAACGTCATCTGGGATTTCATTTCTGACTGATGATGGGATAGAACTAGAAGGGTCAGAGATAAACAAAATTCGTGGTCAAGGTTTGTCTTATAGGCACACTATTTATGATAGGTTCACTTTTGGTGTGTTTAAGAGTATTCAACATTGAAGCTGCACACTTGCATTTGGTGGCAACTATCTTATGATTTTTGATTATATGTTCTCCCACCAATTTAAATCTTGATAATGCACTATTACTTTCATCGTAGTTGTTACACGAATGGTTACTAATGAATGGTCATGCTCTGTGGGAAAGCTTCTGTTAGTTGTCTATGTTAGCCTGAATTTCAGATGCATCGCATCATTTGTAATGTCATTCTAATTCAAGTTGGCTCGTAAGTTAGTTTTCCTCAGTAACATAATATGTTAGAAATCTTAAACATGCAGGTCACAGTGACATTATAAATTTTTACGCGGAGAGCTTCTATGGATCAGGATCGAAGTTACTAGATTAATCTGCAGATATTTCTATGCTATGAAATTGGTCACTCCTTTTGGACCCTCTCTCAATACATGGCTGCTACAGGATGTATGGGGATTTGTATTATTTCCTTTTATCTCTGTCTTAAGCATCCTTTTGTATGTTACCAAACTTGGATAGGAACATTTATATGGCCTGAACCAGAGCTTGTAATGTTTTTCTTGTATCTTTCACTGGGGGAAGGGAAGTTTTCTCTATCTTTTCCTACAATACAGATACTAGTTACAGTTTGTACACATTTCTAGTCCGAAAGTTAGTGTAAATCTTACTGCCATTTGATAAAAAATTTAGAAATTCTATGTCAAATCTTACCCGTATCTGTCTATAATACTAACAAGAGTAGTGAATCAGGATTTGAAGTTGACTGCATCGTGACTGGTCTGAGAAAAAAGTGTGTAGACAATTAGCTGATTGATTAGAAGTTGCTTTTGATTACTGTTAGATATTGATTATCCTAAAGGTGATATCAGTATTAGCCAATCCTTGTTTAAATTGAAAAGAAAAAGGAAAAGAGAAAGAGAAATAACCACTTTGAATCCTCAGACAAGGGTTGGAAAGTAAGGTGCATTGTCAATTGTCATAAACTACAATTTCAAATTAACCAAAATGTAACATCTTTTACTGGTGTAGTGGAATAATGATCTCAAGACACAGACAGAATTAGGTACTAAACATCAATTAAGTGGACTCCAGATACAAAGTGCTAGCAAGTTGAGGTCCTGCAAATATCTAAACTCATGCTATGTTTGTCTTGAAATCATTCTTAGCATTCAGGTAAGAATGTATCTGCTTAATTGTTTTCTACTAATTTTTTTTCTTGTTATTCTTTCCGTATTAGTTAAATTATTCTGCCTTGCCAACTTTTGTAACCAAGGGAATCCTGAAATGCTATTTGTTGCTGTAGATCTTTCTTGAGTCAGCCTTTGCTATGATGACTAACTTGGGCATTTGTGTTTTTTTTTCCTGTTGTTTTTGGGGCTCTTCTTTATGGTGATAGCGATGGTGATCTTTATGGCTGGAGCATGTGAAGTGTGACTAATGCGACATGGTGGTAAGATAAATAGGTAGTATTGGATGATTGATGTGAGAGCATTATGTATTTTAAAGGCATTATAGGGGAATCATACTTTAGCATATTGCACATGTCATTATGAATGTTGGATCCACTAGCCTATGGCAGTTGATCACTCATTTTCTCAAGCTTTTGTCTGCATAACCCCATAATAATCTGGACAGGTGTATATTTGCGATTTGTCAGCTTAAAATCAAAGACATTAATTTGGATATATATATATATATATAAATATATATGGCATTTTCTTGCTTGCAATGACTTCGCCTACTTGGCGGCACTTTCTTTAAATTCAATTAGCATTTGAGTATCATCTTTGACAAGAATTGCTTTTTTTGTGGGGGGGAGGGGGCAATTTAACAAGAATAACTTAGTCTGTATTCTTATCAGGATTCGAGACAATTTATCCTTGTTTATTTATTTATTTATTTTTTTCTGTAGAAACCGAGGCAATTATGGGAGACACAAGCAACTGTAGATAGTGTGGGTTGTTCTAAGCCAAAGAAGGCATAAAGTACTTCTACAGCCTACTGGTCATTGGTTTCCTAAACAGAGAAGGAAAAAAATAAAAGAAAAAGAAAAGAGAAGCAAGTTGAAAAAGAAGCCAAAGCATTGTACTGGAATTTTAAGGTTTCTTTCCTTTTCCCTCTTTTAGCTTTTGAATATAATATATATGCTTTCTTTGAACATATTGGATTGCTTTGTCTATGCATGTCTAGAACTTCTAATCTGAGTTTTTGTTGTTTGAAACGTGGTGAATCATCCACCATCTCCTTAAGAAATTATTTTTTATAGTCCTTATAGTTATTTTTTTTATTACTATTGGAAAAGAGAAAACTGCAGTGACTAATAAAACTAGGGAGTGATTATAGATTTATTAATAGGAATTGAATAAGATACATAGCACATTAGTGTATTCTAGTAGCCACGTATAAAATAATAGTTCCAGGCCACTAGCCTGACTTAGGAATTTGTAAACAATACCGGTGTGATTTTCAAATTTTGTCGGATGTTTATCTCTGGACACCTAATTAGCTTTTGCTACTAGGTGCAATCAATGCCTTACTTAAAATAAATTAATCCTGATTATGTTCTGATTTAAGCTGATAATGAATTGGCAACTGCTTTTTGTTTATTAATTGTTTTAGCATCTTAATCTCCTCGAAATTTTGATGTTTCTATAGTTAAATCTTTATATTAGATACTTGCCCCCTATTTGAGTATATTTATATTATATTGGTAAGTGACAGTGTATCCTCTGGTCATGACCTATACCTTAAATTCTTTATTCAGTAATTAAAAAATAGTTTATTTTCTAGGTGAAAGCTCTGTTGTGGTATCCTCTTTTTCAGTTTTTTAACTCAGTCCACTCAAGTTACTCACTGTCCAGGATATAGAATATAGCTGTATAGAACCACTGTGATTTAAAAAGTACCAAGTTATCATATTTTAACTTTCTTTGTTATTAAATTTTAAAAATTTAACAATAAAGACAAGTTACGGGTACTATAGATTTTGCATTATATTATATAAAATAATATAATATTATTATATTCATATCATGCATATACATATACATATACATATACATGAACAGCATGACCGCGTAGTGGGTAATTGATCAAGAAAGAAAGTGACAGAAGCTCTTGCATTAATAGTAAGTTGTCTAAATATGTACTGCGGTGATTTCTTTTTTTTTTTTTTTTTGTGGTGAGTAAGTTTTCAACAACGTTAATATTTAAAAGAAGTATCTTGTCTCATGTGTTCTTCTCAAACATATGTTTTTATGATTTTTTAAATTTCAATTTAGGTGCTTTTCCGGGCAAGATCATTTTCTAGATGTGACCTATAAATACTGCTTCAGATGTGACATGTTTGGTGTGATTTATGTGAACATCATTATCTTCACAAGCTGTCTCAAACAATTTTCACTTTTGCTTCATCAATTGGCTAGATTACCCATGATGATTTTTATTAAGTTTTTCTTTAAATTAGTCATGAAATCATTAACACAAGCATATAATGCAATTATGCACCAGTCAAAAAACAAAAAAAAAAAAAAAGAAGAAAAGGCACAAACGGAGGAACAAAGCCAGCTGCAACAAATCAAAAACAACAGTAGCAGCTTGACATAAAACGCCAGCAAACATATAGAAAGAGGATTCACTAAGGAAACAAATAGTGACCACCTAAGAGACAAAACCAAATCCCGAAGTCAATTGCAAAACCAACTGTACACCAAAATATTTGCACGAACTAAAGGCTCCGAGAACAAAAAATATGCAGCAATCCAAGATAGCACTGGAAATAGTAACATCCTATTCACACTAATGGAGCCAAGACGTTGTACAGCATTCCTGCCTTCCGTTGATCTTTATTTATTATATCATATTTTCTCATACTCGAGCCTTCTATTTTCTTAGTTCTAGCACTCTCATACACTCCCTCCATAGTTGGTTCCACATTTAGGACCTTCGTTCTCAATTCCAAAGCCAAGTCTTCTTCTACCTCGTATGCTATTTCACTCTCTGGAGCACTTGAGAGGTGGCTTTTTCTCGAAAGAAAAACTGCCATGTTTAAACGACGCCGTTGGGGCCGCTCTGGAGGACGCAGGTAAGGCCGTTAGTGTGTAATTATCTAACAACGAGAAGGGCGATTAGGTGATTGAAGTGAAAAAATTAAAAAAAAAAAAAAGGAGAGGTGGGTGGCATGATGTAAAACTAAAACCAATAATTGCAAGTAAGGGGAGAGAGAAAATAATAAAATAATAAAAGTATTTATTATTATTATTAGATTATAATTAATTATAATGAAAACAAAGGACGACAGAGTTTTATATTTGGCAGAAGGACTTTCCATGAATGGATATCCAGCGTCCACGTCTCCCTAGGTACAAACCTCGTACGTCCCCTTTGCCGACAGGATGCCTACCCAGAAAGGAAAACCCTAATTGTACTTCCCCCCCTAACATATTTTATTTTTACATTGTTATTATTACTATTAAATTAATAATGTATTTAATTTTCTTGTTTATTTTATTAGTAAATAGGTGTAATACATACCCTTTTTGTGGGCTCAATCTTGGGCTTTTTTGGTTTCTGTCAGAGATAAATATGGTCACGTGCTTATTGCTTTTTTTTAAGTAAGAACAAATTATTAATTGGTTAGCAAATCATTTAAATTAAGAAGAAATAATAATTCTTAGCTTCAGAATTGAGGAAAGATATATACATATACATATATATATATATTATTGATGGCTCACTTTGGTCACAAGAAAACTAAATGGAGGTTAAGGTGTTCTTTTTCTAGTAATTTATTTAAAATATTTTTAATTTTTTACTGGAATAAAATAATATATCGTAATTTAATTAATTTTGATAAATTGTGATTTTTTTATTTCTATTTTCAATTTGTTATTAAAATAGATACGACACAAATACTTTAATAAAAATAGTCTGTAAAGATATATAGATATTGTTATTTATTTTTAAAATTATTATACCTAATTATTGATTTTTGAAAATAGCTAATGCTACATGTTTTTCTTATTATTATTTATTATGTTTTAAAAATATAAAATAATGTACAAAATACTTATTTAATGTATAAAATAATATAAATTTTCATATTTATTTAGTGAATGTGTATGTTTAATACTCTACTTCATGTATAATTTGCACGCGAACAAATAAGGTAAGCTGTAGATAAAATCAAATTATATGATTTTTAATTGAAAAAATAAATTATATAATAAAAAATAGAATTATTTTCCATTACTTATTATAATCTAATAAAATTTTTATTTTTAGTTAACTACTTAAAAAATTAAAAATCATTTTTATTTACATAAATATATATATATATATTAACTCATACAATAAACAATTTATATAGAAAATTCATGTACAGAAAATAATTTAACACATGCAAGCAGCATATTATTTAACATTATCAATGCGAAATATATATATATGTATATGTATGTATGTATATAAATTGAATAAACAATTTTATGTAAAGAAATACGAAGGATATAATATCATTAGTAAGTATTTAAAAGTACGTGCAGCATAATGGCGCGTCTTGAAACCTCTTTCTATAGCAAAGCGGACACTGAGGTTTCCTTAAAGGGGAACCACAAGGAGATGATAGAGCTTCAATCGACTCTGATTGGTGC